TGCGTTTTTGTTTAAGTTTTAGCTTTTAGTTTTGCAATTATCCTTTTGCAATTTGCTGGCATCCTGCAGAGCACAGACAAAGTTTTGTCCATGTGCGATTTTTCCGCTCGAAAGTTCTCGGTGCGATGCTTACTTGTTGTTGGCACTGGCGCTGATTTGATTATATTGTAGCCGAACATTGGCCGATCGAGCTTTAATGGTGGTTTGTTTTCATAAGAAACTTAGAAATAGTAGTTATAGAATCTCCTATTAAGTCCACTTCAAATGATGTGCCTTGTTATTCGAATATTTTTGGCTTAAACATAAGTTTAATAATTGTGTTGTAAAGTTTTATTTATTTGAATAAGCTTCCACAAATTGGTTGAGAAACCATTTTCGTCTTGCAGAGCACGTTTGAAATTGAGATCAGCATACTTTTAGGCTTCACTTTTCGCTTTTGCTAGCTTTGTAAAAAAAAAAAAACAAATAAAACAACTATTCATAACCTCATTTGCTATCACAAAATCTGAGCAAAAGTAAAGAGCAATGTTTTTTTTTCTTCTAAATTTCATTTGGAATCAATAAAATTAATTTAATAAACCTAATAATAATGAAAAGGGTAATCAAAAAATATATAATAAACAATTCACAAGCAATTATTTATAGCTACGAGTGTTGCTAGTTAGTTTTAATGACCTTTTAAGTTTTGAAAATAATTCTCTAAAATTTGAGTATGAAGTCCTATAAGTATAACACCACTATCAAGCTAGTCTGGACCATTGGCTCTCAGCTATTGGTAGCCTTACTTTAGCCTTATTTCCACAATGACATTAACATTCCAACAGTAATATCTGAAATTTCCGAAGAGGGAGCAAATATTCCGAAAAATTAAATGCCTATTCCAACCTTTCACAGCCCAAAATTGGATTTCGAAATAGTTTTAGAAAAATGTAGCTGGAAAAACAAAATCGGTTAAACAAGCAACCCTCATGTGTAGAATCTGAATTGAAATTAAGTTTTATTAAAATAGATAAACACCTATGAAAATAATATTAATTTCGAATATTATACTTCAATGAATATTCCTAAGATTAATTTTATATTCCGTATCTAGGTAATTATATGGTTTCTATTTAATTCAACTAGTTCTCGTTACGGACTTCTTAATTTCCAGAGAGATTGAATGGATGTCGAATCGTTTTCATTTCAATACAATTACCGTTTATCGGTCAAAACAAATGATTTTAAAATATTTTGTACACAAAAGTTGTTTTAAGTGAAAATAAATTGCAAAAGTAAGTTTCTTTATACTATATGTTTAGTATTCGAAGACAGATAAGAAAGCAATTGCGAATGTAAGATCAGAGAATCAAAATACGTATTGTATATTGTAGAAAAGGTTGCTGGCATTGCAATCGACTTTGCCAAAACTGTTTATAAATAATGTTATAAACACACTAAATACCTCTCTTACTTTCAAAATATTGAAATCAATTTGTTTAATTGACACACAAGACATGGTAAGAATATTGTCAACTGTTTTTCTTGAAATCTATAAATTGTCATCGCAATCGAAATGCAAAACGGCGAATCTTTTAGATTAAAAACAATGCAGAATAGGTATGAGAGTCCCAGTTAGATACATAACAGTACATACAATGTCATTATAGAATAAGGTATTTAATAGGTGTTTGCATTTTTTCTTGCTCTTCCCCTATCCTGTCAGCTTCCTTTCTCACAAACTGTTGCCGCACTTTTGTTCGCTTCGGCTTCATCATCATTTCATCAAAACTGTTGCCACAATTATGATTTTTGTGCATTTGTTGCATGCAGTTTACGGTTGTCGGTACATAAAGTACGGGTTCATAAAGTTTGCATTTGCTCGAAGGAAGCTGGAAAGATTCCATTCTGTACTAATTAATTTTGGCGTGTCGCCAACGACTCTTGCCTGGCAGCTAATTGTTATTGTTTTAACTATCGGCTGAACGACGCGACGTCTGCGTAAATCCACGAGTACGAGTAGTTGCCACCCCGCCAATTGAAGCGCCAGTTTGCGGTTTGAAAATTGGCTACGACGATGTCGACAATGGCGTTGATGGCATTGATGCCGACAATGGGAAGAAGGATGGAGGGAACAGCGTGTGTGCAGCAAGGCGAAAATTTGCGCTATAAACATAAAAATTAACGACTGCAAACGGTTGTAAAAGACAAAGGCGTTCTGCAGTGGCAAGGTGCGGGGCGTGGCGTGGCATGCAACAAAACCACACTCGAACGTCGTTGCTCGACATTAAAATCAGTTTTTACGGCCATGCCACACCTTCGAAATGATGTTGGACGGAAGGAAAGGCAGTTGATTAAAAATCAACAGCAAACGAAAGGAAATCCTTTGAAGGTTCCCAATCATTATTTTATTGTACTTACATATATTTGTACGTGAGAACAGGAAGCTTTAAATGAAAGTGAAAGACAGCACGCGATGCCACAAAATGCATTTAGGTGGAGTTAGTCAGCATCAAGTACACATCGAATTCGTTTAAAAATATGTTCAAAGCAATTCATTTTCTGCTTTTTGTTGCAGTAATCAATGCCATCAGGCTTAGAATGGAATTGTTAAAAAAATTGTTGCAATGAGATACAATTATAATTTGCGCTTTTTATACCCTGTACCCGTAGGGTAAAAAGGGTATATTAGGTTTGTGCAAAGTATGTAACATACAGAAGGAAGCATCTCCGAACCCATAATGCATATATATTCTTGATCAGCATGACGAGAGAAATCGATCTAGACATGTCCGTCCGTCTGTCCGTCTGTCCGTCCGTCTGTCCGTCTGTCCGTCTGGATGAACGCGAGGATCTCAGAAACTATAAAAGCTAGAATAGCCAAAGTTGGCATCCAGATTCTCCTAGATCCGAGTAAGGACGAGTTTATTTTTTTTTTTTAATTCCCCCCCCCCCCCCCCCCCCCCCCCCCTTCCCCCTCTACAGAATTTCGTCAATAGCGTCCACATTTCAAATGCTACCTAAACCAAACTTTGCACACATAATATATATATAATTGTCTACTGTTGTTGTGCTTGATCGTATTGGATTTCCATCTGCTTTTATGGTTGGAATTTCTTTATATTAAAAAAAGGAATACAGATAATATGGCTCAGGTTAAATATGAGTAAGTATTCACCATCTTTATCTTTAATTTTGTTGCATTCTCCCATACTCAACCAACCCAACCATTTGATTATCTGAACTGCATGCTTAGTTAAGCTCTAAAATTATGTTCATGACTTTTCATTGGACTCGACCACAATTAGTCATTTATACGATTCAAAATATAACATTGCAGCGTACTATTTATTAACAGTCAAAGATCTTGGAATATTTTTTGATTCCAAATAGAACTATGTATGTACATATATCTCCACTAATATACAGAAGACTAGGGGAGTTCTTGGGCTCATTAAACGTTGTTGGAAAGAATTTTATGATCCCTATACTCAACTATGTACTTACTCACGATCTTAACATTTTCACTATCATAAGCGAGTTTTTGGATTCACTAAATAGGGTTCTAAGGAATGCAACGATCCCAATACTACTTAACTACTGTTTATGTGTTTGGTGTCCGTAGTTTAAAGGGCATCAGGATCGGATTGACCTGGTTGAGAAGGAATTCCTTTTTATTTTTGTTTTACTTGGTTTAAGCATGGCAGCGTGTCCTAATCAAGCAGACTCCTACATATTAATCTTTTGTCACTTGCTAAGAGTAGGACTGTCTCTGATGTTGTGTTTCTCCACAAATTGATGGCCAAGGTTGCAGATTCCTCTGCTCTTGTAGGTCGGCTTCATTTCTCAATTCATTCGTCTAAATGAATAGATAACTGAAAATTCCTTTCGGGTTTTATGCTTCAATTATAATTATATTTTCAAGCTGCTCTCAATCTGCCTCTACCGTTTCGGAAATTCCTATATTTTCATTTGTAATTAGCCGCTAAATATTTCTAAAATTTCAATTCCTGAAACCTCTTCAATTTGTGATTATTAACGCCTCTGACTACACTTGGCTGTGAATTGTTAATTTTCAATAAAGCGCTGCTTTCAGTGCAAACATCTCTCGCCGTCACTTTGTGGGTTTTTCAAATTGAAGTCCCGCTTTGTGGTTACCGCCAAAGTGAGTGAATCTAAGGAAACTTCAGTTCCTTACTGCATTTTCTCAAAGCTTCGAGTGCGCTTCAATTACTTCTGCGCTGCATAAGCCGCTTAGTTCAAGTGCTTGCCACAATTGTCTCCAACCCCTCGTCCGTCGTCCAACAACACCAAAAATGTATGCTTAACAATTTTTGCACACAATCGTTATGAAAATGGTAATGCTGGCGGCAAAATAAACTCAACAATGACGGCGCGATTAACTCTCGCTGTAAGCCATAAACGGTTTTCGAAACTAAGAGCAGAGAAATGGAGGGAGAAATGGAAAGTGGGTGGAGGTGGCTGGTGGTTGGGGACGGGAAGGGGGGAGGGAGGGTGTGATGGAAACTCGCACTAATTTTGTATGCATGAGCAGAAATGAAAAGCATTAAAAAAATAGGAGAAAAAAGAAACTGTTACAGGCGGCTGTGAAAGGACTGTGGATGTTGCGATCCTGGACAAAACGCCTTAACGATTTTAACGCAAAGGCACTTGAAAAATCAAGTTAATGCTGCCAGCCATCCAGCCAGCCAGCCAGCCAACCAGCCCCGCAAGGATGCTAACCGCAGCGAGCGGACAGCAGGGAGCAGGGGAGGCAGGAGACAGATACTGCGTACTGGCAACATTTTAATCCATATTTCTTGCTGCCTGGCAGACAATTTAAAAGATAATGGCATTTTTTGTTGTTGCTGCTGCCCGTTCTGCCGTTAGCTGCTACCCACAGCAATTTTCTGCAGCCCGCGGCACATGGCATTGGCCGCTGCAATAAGAGGAGCAGCAACAAGGATTATGCACAGGCGTGGCCACAAAGTTGCCAGCTGGCAGACAAGTTATTGCAACAGCTATTCGCGCTGCATGCGACGACGTGGCCTGCAGAAGTGAAAAAAATTAGCATTTGGCCATAAATTGGAGCAGCACGGGGACAGACATCGATGCGATCTAGCTAGGATAGGTAAAGGAGCTCGAACAGCGCATTTATTACGAATAACAGTGGCATTTGTAGGCCTTTGCTGCCTCTGGAAACTGAATAATCTGCATATTTGCACAATTCCGAAAATTCCGCATCAAATATCGGAAACAAGTAGGGACATTGATAATCCTTCTCCCTCAACATAAAATAGGCCGTTCTATTGTCGGAGTGTATGAACGGAAAATAGTAGCAGCACAGACTAATGCCGCTTAGGAATCTGCGAAAGGAACAGCAATTAGTTTATTCACATACTTGTATGTATATATGTATGTATATATAAATTATGCAGGGAGAATACTAGCTGAGTGCAGAATTTTTAACATTGCTATGCAAAAAATTATTTATTATTATTTTTGTGCTTCAACACTCAAAAATATTAAAATGTAATAGTAGTAAGTTGTCAAAGCTAAAACAAAGTAGTTCCGTAACAATCAGTTTGATTTCGCGGCTATATTTTTACAATTAAAATATCGTAGCATTTATCAAATATCAAGCTTCGGAAACAGATTTCTAAGAGTAGTTCAACTTAAATAATCGTTAGTCTGACTATTTCAAAGTTGTCACAATACTACTTGGATGAAAAATAATCAAGAGTTACAATTGTAGAACTTTATAGCGCTCGATAGTATCGATACTAACGTTAATTTTTGATAGTCTTATTTTACTTGAAATCTATTCAGTAAATATTTGGTAGATTTATTTTGTGAAATTTTTCAGTTTCAACATTAAAAATTACTTTAAATCAATTCCATACTGCTGGGGAGAATAATCGTTAGTCTGCCTATTTCAAAGTTGTCACAATACTACTTGGTTGAAAAATAATCAAGAGTTATAACAGTAGTACTTTATAGTATCGAGACTAACGGTTATTTTTGATAGCCTTACTTTATTTGAAATCTATTCAGTAAATATTTGGTAGATTTATTTTGTGAAATTTTTCAGTTTTAACATATCTATTGCATTCTACTTGTACTGTAAAATAAATAGAAGAATAAAAAAAAACATTTTTCTTATACTCATATAATTTTTTAGTGTACAGTTAGCTTTAGATAATCATAGTTCTTTTTCCGAAATACTTTGACAGAATAAGGACAAGGCAAAGGGTTGGTAAAACAGCTCTTCAGCTAGTATTATCGCTCCATAACAATGATTAGTTAAATACTTACTTTGCATATGAGCAGCCGATACGATATGTTTGCGGACACATCATATGCGTAAAATTGTTATCTCCTATAAGCTCATAATATTTGAAAGTCTCATAATTGGTAAGCTTCGGTCTCGGCAGTTTTTGATGATCAAAATACCAATTGACTAAAGCCAACTCAATGAAGTTGGAGTGTATTTGATTGATGGGTAAAAAGAATGTATTTCGGGCTATATCCTTACGTCTGCCTCCATATACACGCTCGTGCTGCATTTTATAGATCGTGCCCTCATCGATTACTGTCTCGTTTCCGCAATCGTCTACTCTGTGTATCAAACAATGGACATGATAGCGATTGGCAAGTTCGGTAAGTGGATCATCCCATTCCATCATTAGCATATCGCCCATATTCAGTTTTGAGGCCAACCGATTACGCAGTCCATTATGGGCAACCAATAGCATATTCTTCTTCTTAGTGTGCTCTGGTAAGCGCAGATCGAAGTGCTGCCAGTTCTCGCATAGTACCTGTGTCTAAAGCAGGGACAGTCCCAATCGAAAATTAATTTTCATAGTTTTATATTTCTGAGCTTACAGTGCAATCAAGGGATCCATTACACAGCATTACGCAGTTGTCTTTGGACGCAATTATGATTTCCAGCAGGTGATAGTTCCGGAACTGAGCGTATAATAATGGAGGCAACAAAAAAAGGTAAATCCATTGAAACATTTTTGAACAATAAAGAATGTGTTGCTTTATATAGTAAAGGAATATTCAAGCAGTATTTCAACTCTATAAATAGCTTGGAGTCAAGTTCTATGAAAATTTTGGTTTGAAAACGTCAGTTATTTGGAGTCAGATTTTATATGCTTTCTATTTCTATAGATTCTTCATTAGTCAATGTAAATTTATTAGTATGAGTTGGACGAAAAAATATAAAGAGCGGTTTTCATCATCTTCATCTGTTAATATTTTAACTATTAAATATACCTTTTATGTAGATATATGTATATACTGTAAACATGTTTTCAAAGGCTCTGCAAATTTTGTTAAGTACAGTAGAAATATTAATTTAACATAATATCTAATAATATTGCTCCTAACTAATAGCACTATATATTGTATATGTTTGCACATTTAACCATCTTCTGGGCTTTATGACTATTAATGGAAATCGATAAACAGAGCATTGTACTCTTCAAATAGGTACTGTAGGTTATAGTTAGATGTAGAAGGTGTTTCTTCCATTCAATATTTAAGTCATAAGAATTATTTAAATCAAGATGGGATTAATAATACTTGTATTTTAGTACAATTGAAAACATAAAGTTATTTTATTGGTTTTTTAATTCGAATATTAATTGCTCGTTTCTTTGATTTTTAAAATAAGTTGAGCTTTTCAAATTTATTTATATATATAAATATTAAATATATATATATTCTGATAACCAGAAACTTAAACACAGTTTCTCTATAAAATCAAGTTAAAAATGTTGCAAATTAAAAAATCCTTCGACTTATAAAGTACATTTCAATAAAATAATTAATGCTCAAAAACATATTGTTACAAATGAATTGTTTAACAGTTTTCGTACTTTGATTTTATAATTATTTAATCGATTTGTTATATGAGTATTTTTTTGATTTGATAATCAGAGCTGCAATTTGATGGGACTTTGGTAACTCTATTGTATCATTTGTATGATTTTAATCATAATTAATATTCATTTGGATTTTCACAAATTAAAAATGTATTAAAGCACAAAGCGTAAACTTTTTAAATAGATTTTTTAAAACGAACACTAGTAAATAAAAAACCTTTAACTGATTAGCACAAAACTTATAATCCTCAATGAAAGCACTTAAAAGATTAAACATTTCAGTACAACACTCCAGGTCCTACTTCATACCTGGGTATGCACACTTTTCTTTATTAAGTTTTGAGTGCATTTGGTAAAACTAACTGGCTTTAAAGCCACCCCTTATAAGTAAGCTTAATACCCCCTGTTAATGCGCTTCTTGGAGCTTATTGGCCAGGAAGTTGCATTCGCGTTGTAACTTGCTACTTTTTTTTAGGGAATATTTAAAGTGTAGTAATTAAATGTTTGACTGAATTGAATTGTTTGTATCAACCACAATTCTTTAACAGACATAAAACACTTATATTCAGCTACACTATAAAGTCATTCGAGCAAAGTTCACATTTGAAAAGGGGGTGTCGAGTGCGAGTCTATGGGCTTAAGAGAATTTGCATGCCAGTTGGCTTTGTGCAGTCGCCACAGGCCAGAAAATCAATTAATTTCCATTTCGACAAGCGGTTAGAGGGTCTCCAAGGCTGCCAATCGCTTGGCAACAGGCTGACGTGGTCAGTACCTTGATTTTCTTGATGGATAGCGGTTGGCAAACATTAACGGCCCATTGCGATAACAACAATGTAGGCGGTAGCTTAAGGCTCCGAGCTGTCAATGCCTGTCAAGGTGCAGCAACGGAGTTATGATATGTACTAGTACTTATAGTACGTACCTATGTATGTATGTATATATGTACATATGTATGTACTTGGCTGCACATTGAACTTGTCCACAAGGGTGGGGGGTGGAGAGTACAACAAAGGTCTTGGCCTCGGTCTTAGTCTCGACAGTGGTCGCGACGTTCAGCGCGCACGTAGCAAAAGTTTTACAAGATAAGCAGATTTACTTTAAGTTTTGGCAAAGTCGTAGCATTTTCGACGGGCAGCGACATTCTGGGGCCCCCACTAGATGCCAGGCAGCACGTCACAGATAGCACCGATAACATGACCACGGAGGGTATGGTTGTCGCCTTTGTTGTGTGTGGTTGTGGTTGGGTGGCTCTGGCATGGCTCTTTCATTATTGACTGACGCGCTGAAACCTGCAGTATGTGGCGACCAATAAAGTCAAACTGAATCGCATATGTACAAGTATACTATATGCATGTGTGAGTGTGTGTGTTTTCTATTTTATAATTAAAAGCTGCAGCTAATTAGCGATGAAGCGCTGTCAGCATGGATACACGCAGAAAAACGTGTTAAAAAAAATGGGGAAAAATTAGCTCCTCTTTGTAGAGCAACGTCTGTTTGAATTAAGTTTTATCTTTACAATTAAAACCATTAGTATTAACTCATAAACAATATATTGTCGATTGAAAAGATCGACATTTAGCAGAACTGTATATCACTAATATTAAATCAAATAGGTTTATATGTTTTAATCTGTTTCAATAAAGTTTTATCTTTAACATTTAAGCCATTAGTATTAACTCATATACAATATATTGTCGATTGAAAAGATCGACATTTAGCAGAACTGTATATAACTAATATTAAATCAAATAGGTTTATATGTTTTAATCTGTTTCAATAAAGTTTTATCTTTAACATTTAAGCCATTAGTATTAACTCATATAAAATATATTGTCGATTGAAAAGGTCGACATTTAGCAGAACTGTATATAACTAATATTAAATCAAATAGATTTATATGTTTTAATCTGTTTCAATAAAGTTTTATCTTTAACATTTAAGGCACGTAAAACTTAAAACTTATACAATATATTGACAGCAAAAAAGGTCGACATTTAACTGTTTAAAACTAATATTAAATCAGATAGGTTTATATCACTATGATGATTTAGGGACAATCTTGTCCTTTTCCAAACTTCCAAACCTGGAAGAACCTTGATTCCAAGTTTCGTTAATCTAGCTCTTTGTAGCTGTTCCCATTGCAGAGATTTCTTAGCACACTCTTCAGTCTTCGCTATTCGTATCCTTAAGCTAATTCGGATCTGTAAGCTTCTTCTATGTCTCCGAGCCAATTCGGATTTTAAAGCTTCTTCTAGAAATTAGAAACTTCTATATCCTCGAGCTGCTTTGGACGCGGCAGGCGCGGCAAACTTGAGACCAAGAAGAATTATGAGGCAGAAGAATTGCTAGAAGTTCGTTTTGAAAAAGTTCTTTGGCTATTTGGTTCTCATCAAGGACGTATGCAGCATTTACTAAGGGGGAAGGGGGCTGGGGAAAAAAACTGAAATTTTTATTAAATAATGCACGATAAATAATAATTTATGCATATGATCAATGAAAAAACTTCAACAAATCCAACTCAGTTCCATTTTAAATAGTGCAGTAATGAACATGTGGTCGACTTTATATGGCAACATTTCTTGTAGGGGGGGGAGGGGGAAGGCCCCCCTGCGTACGCCCTTGGCTGGTATCTGGTCTCCAATTATTAACGAGACCAGCTTAACTATGTCGTGTTTTCTTATGGCTTTTCATGGCTAGAAACAGCAAATACAGGATTTTTTGCCCCGAATAAAGAATAAGGAGTAAAGCTTAAGGTAGGAATGATTATTGAATACTGTGCTGATCTCCATATGTTTTCCAGAGAAGCTATTGAGCTACTATTATGGACCCGAAAATGCTGCAAAAAAACGTTCCAAAAAACCTCACAGATTGTATACACAATTATTACATAAACGATTAAACAAATTAAGTTTTTAATTATATTTTTAATATATTTTAATAGATTAGGCAAACGCTGCAACAATTTGATTATTTCGCTTCAGTGGGTAAAGGCTTTGGTTGTTTTTGCCTTACCGGTTTCTAGCGGCTTGGTGCATTATTCAGCGACATTTTGTTGTTTGCCTGAAACTTACAAAGCGGATGACACGTAAATGCAATCAACGTGTGCAGCACGTAGCGATATTTTGATGCCGATGCCGACGCCGTTGTCGTTGCCCCCAATGCCTCCCCATGTGTCGCAAAAGTTTCTACCGCGTAGGTGCAGAGTGGCGTGGAACTGGGCGTCACATGTAACCGCGTTCAGTCTAAAGTGGATTAATCAGGGCATTCTGCATTGCTGGTGATGGGAACGCCCCACTCTGACTATTGGCACGTCGCTATTTTAAGTATTTCATGTGGATTCCATTAAAGCCGCAGTACGAGTGCTACATCGCATTGAGTCGATTGTCTGTAATCTCTAATTTATTGTTATTTAGTACAGTGCTTATATACTCAGACGTTCATTTCAAATATATACATGTATGCGCTTTTGTGGAAAGCTAGCAATTTCTAAGTAGCTCAAGTCAATAACCGATCTTCCCTATCTTTCTATTTGCTGTAGATAATGCAAGCACAGTATTTGTATATACATACTAATTATTTGTGCTTTTGCAGTGACAAGTTGACTTAAAGTTTTTGTTTCAGCTTTAAATATATAACGCTATCACTCCTATTTGTATTATAAATAGACGTCACTAATATTAAAAAATAGTAAATAACTTAAAAAACTTAACGGTAAATTATTCCTGTTCAAATATGTATTCCTGGAAAGTGATTGAAGCATCGCTTTAGAGCTTAATATACCACAAAACTGTTTTAAATGTGTTAAAATCAAGAGAATAAGATCATTTTTCCCCATTACAATCGTTATCGATTGACAAATAAATGCATTAGTGGCCTAGTCTTTAAGCAGGTAATACTAAAGCTTTTATGAGAGAGGAGTAATTAATTATCTATCCACAAAACAACAATAAGTCGTTAAATAAATCGGCACATATCTGCCCAAAATTGGAAAACATAATCCCTTTTTAAGAAAATGTAATAATCAATGGTT